TGCAAAACACTGCAAAACACACCACAAGCCTCACCGAACATCTCCTTGCTACCGCGACCTCGCCCACAGGAAGCCGCGACCGCGTGGCAGCAGGGGAAATGGCCCCGGATCCGGTTCGTAAGTAGAGGCGAGTTCGTATCCCGAGGTACCACTGTATATGAATTAGCCATTTCAAGAGTCTGGATTATCTCTGACTTAGATAATCTTCCCATAGGATGGGTTGGTACAACATTTGTATCAACCGTGAGATAAAGATGGGGGCCTAATCCGGTACATTAATCAAATCAGGCTCTCACGGAAGAATGCAATGTTTGCAAACTAAAATGCTCCTGAAGTACATCCCATTTAAAGATAGTTTCTGTTTACAAAGATGTCAACAAATATGTGATCTGGCAATAAATATACCCTCTCAGTTATTTAAGCGGTATTCTCTTGAGTAATGCTGCTGAATTATATTTCACTGTCATCAACGCTGATTTTTATTTGCAGTACATTTTAATTGTAAAATATTACTATTTTTTTTTTCAAAAATTGGCTTGACTCCATTACCAAGCTATGATTCCACTGAGGTCATTTTAACTAAAAGCCAACCAAATCATGATCTACGGTCTAGTAATCAAGGTTCTGTAAGCCCATTCCAATCTTCTACAGGAAATTATTAATGAAACGGCTTCTCTCAGTATATCAAAACCTCATTTCATTATGAACGGAAGCATAACGGTTCTGAGTGTCTCTCTAGAGAATCTGCATCATCAAAGGGAGGAATTGCAACGTGGGATCATCAGATGGCAAAAACGGCGCTGAAAGCTGTTAATATGATATGAACCGCTCAAAGAATCTGGAGAGAAACCCTCAAGGAAGTTCTGAGTGAATCACCAATGATCCTTCATAGCCACTTCCTATGAAAGCATAAAGTTCATTCCTATTGATTTGCACAGATCTTTTGTGTTGAACTCTTATGTTCTTCCAAGAACCAACATCAAACCATCAGTCTAGGAAATGGCCAACAAAGGACATGATTCCCATTTCAAATGAGAGAAAAATGCAAGGAGCCAGACTCTCAGAATAAAAGCTCTTTCTCTGTGCATAAGCTAAATTTCCAGAGACAAAAGCATTCTGCACATGCTCAGGGCTAATTCCTATGCTCCAGAAGAGTCTTGCTTTAAGCAACTTCCTTACAGTTACCTGTTTCCTATAGCAGAAATATAACCAAGTTTCATTTTGGCAGCATTTCCCCTTCTCACAAGCATATGTGTACAGCCTCACCAGCTTGGAGAGGTTACAAATATTCCCAGAAGCTCTTTGATTCACACTTAGCATCTTTAAACGCCGTTGGATTAAAAATGTAGCTTAGAAACCAGAAAGCACAAGAAATTCTTTCTTTTCTGCCAGAGCCTATCAGGCACACATTTTCCATCTTGATTTCCTCTTCCTGAAACTGTCAAATTGTACAGTACAAGTAAAGAAGCTGAATGTTCCTGGGCCATCTGTAAAATGCTGACACGTGCGTAAAAACCTTCCTCGCCGGAGTGCAGAAATTCTACACAGTCGAGAAGCATTCCAAAATCATCTGCAACGAAGATCGAACCGTGAGATCCGCTAGAAAATGTACTGCACCTTTCAAGAGGCAACCTTCCTGTATCACAGTTGACTGTTAAGCAGCAGACATCAGCAACTCTAAAAACGTAAATATAATAAAACCAAACTACACGGAGGTATTATTGAGTTAGTAAACCAGCGTCGCTTTTTTGAACGTTGCCTACATTTTACAGAAGGAAGACAATGAGAGCGCTGTGATGGAAAAAACTGAATATATTTCTCCACTTTCAATGCAAAGAGAATTGTAATCCCAAGTGCCAATTTGGTTACTTAGAAAACAGATTTTTTTCAAGGTTTATTTGCTTCTCTCACTCGTTCTTTCGCAGAAGCCTTGTTTGTCAACGGAGCCAGTTCGACAGATACTGGTCCTCAGTGCCAGAAGTTGTAAGTCATAACGTACAAGAGGTGGAAGAGCGCATCTCCCTTGCCCCAAATGCTGTGATGTAAATTTATGTATTTATTTAAATCTATATGCCACCTGACTGCCAATGATTCTTGGGCAGTTCACAAATAAAAAGATGAAAAACAAGAAAAACATATCATAATGAACAAAAATGAAGAATAAAAGATTGCAAGGATGATGAACCGACTCAGTCCAAAGGGGACTTCACCAAAGGCCTAAAAACCAGATGAATCTGTTGAAGAGATAGGATGAAATGCCCTAGTGTCAGCCTTACTAGTAGACCAGACAGGAAACACACCAGATGAGTTAATTCTACTTTATTGTAAAGCTACATTAACAGAATCTTGCAAGTCTGAAAGTACAATTCT